GTCCACGGTGAAAGTTGATGTATTTCCTCAGCGACCAGCACGGATCAGCTCCAGGCATGACGAAGCGGATATCATCCTCTTTTGGAAGACCAAACAAAGTAGTTTCGCTTTCACAACAAAACACACAGCGTCTTCACGACATGGCGGCAGCGGCAACAATACTACTGCAAGAATAAAAGTTACGCCTTGTTTCTTTGCGGGAACATTTGGGCGGCATTATGCAAATCTTCCCACATAGTGAGGTAGATATGTGGGGGCGTGTTAGAACGAGCCATTTTAGGTAGTATAAAACTCTTAACTTTTATAAAGAATATCTCTTTGGATTTGAGACTTTAGTCTTTGCAACTTTACAGATCTTCTTTATGCACCAAGAGCTTGTAACACTCCAAAGAGAAAGGGAAAAATTAAATCGCATCATATGACCCCTTTAAATCATTTTTATTCAGCGGTTTGTTCTAGTGCTCTAATTTTAAGTTTGTTAGCGCTATGACGTTTCACTGTTAGTATCACTCCTCTTGTTTGTGTTTGCTACATTTTGCTTCATCTTCATTCGGCGTCGTTTGCTATTATTTCCAATGGCAGAGTGAAAATAAACAACACAATAGCTAACAGCACTGATGCTCGTGAGATATTGATTAAATATTGAGGACTTTGAATGAACACGCAGCAGAAATGATAAGTAAACCCCCACACAACATCTTTTTATAGAGCTGCTGATAGATGTTTGAAGGCTCCATCCACCCTACGCAAACAACTCCAGACTGCAATTAATCAGTTTCTCTTTCTCTCTCTGTCCTCAATAAATCAACCTCTTCCTCGCTTTATTCACAGCACACTTTCTTTCATATCACAGCATTACACCTTTTCAGTAAAATGCAAGATTTACAAAAGTGGATCCACTTTAAATGCTACCTGTTTAATCTGTTTTTCATATTCTGCTTCACTTGTTCAGGCTCCAATAAATACTGCATTCAAAAATACATATTTCTATTAAAATTAATATAATTTTCTCAATTACTGTTCACAGTGATCACATCACTATTGCTGGATAATGAATATCAGTCTATTTCTCACCCGAAGCATCATATGACTTAAAAATTCTTATGTGTTCAATTCATATGGACTAAATATAATACATTTGTAATACATTTATGTGTTTTATGTCTCTTTTCGAGGTTGACATGGTTTCTATAAGTTGTGTGGAGATTCTTAAAAAAACAAATTTTGTTATATATTAGGCTAAATTATGAATTTATTTTATCCCTTTAAAGGTATTTGACAAATCATCCCAGAATGCCATCTGACTGCCAAACAATCAGTTTGGGTGAGTTATCTCTTAAAAACATCCATATGACATTTGCTATTTTCAGCCATGCTATGCATCATAATTGACAAGCTATGATGTAAATGGGATATGACGTAACTGTAGCCCTAAACAATCTATTCTTAAAATAGAAATAGAAATGGCACTTTTTTCCCCCTATGTCCACCATTTCCCTTATAAATGCTCATCTGTCATTGGCTCAGATAACAGCACTAGCCTGTTGCCTGGTAACATTGCTAAAATGCTTGTGTTTGAGAGAGAAACGCTGCTTTTGTGTCTCTGTCCCTTTTTTTTCTTTTTCTAACAATAATGTTTATGCTACACAACCATCTAAATTTCTAACAGTACACCCACTGATGATGATCTTTAGATGTAACAATCAGTCTGGACATTATTCCGCAATCTGTTTTCTGTGGAATTATTTAGCAGCTTGATATGAAACATAATGCGAAAGCTGACAGGAAGCATCACGCCACATGCCAAAACTTTGTCACACTTCCCTGGCTATTAATGAACACTCTCTCCTCAGTCAATAAGTCATGGAATGATATACAATAACCTAGTCTTTCATTAAGAAATGTGTCGGTCTTTAGATGTGAAATTGACTAGGACAACTGCGGCTTTAATGAGTTTTGGCTGAGAATGAATTCATACCGAAGAGTTCCTGATGGCAGTGCCAACAGCAGCTAATGAACACGTTAATTTGCACAGTTGTGTTTGTCATCAATGAAAATAATCCAGATGTAACTCAGTTAATGCCAAAAAGGCAGCTTTACTCAGATGCTGGAGTCATTTCAAGAAAAACATGACAAGTCAGGAAGGATGAAACTCCAAATTTATGATGTCATTTTAAAGTTGTCAAACACCGAGCTTAATGGAGGGAGCAATGATCCCGTCATTATCTGAGATCATTAAGTATGTCATGGCAGGTTATAAATTATACAAATGCTTCATCAATATTTACAGAAACGGTGCAATCATTTTCTTTAGCTTTTGTCTGTCTGACTTATATATATACTGTAGATTGATATATGCTATAGATAGATATACTAGATAGACAGATAAATAGTGACAGATGTGTGACAGAGCGGTAGATAGCGTGTGACATGTAGATAAAGTGACAGATAGATAGATAGAGTGACAGAGCATGACAGATAGACAGATAGATAGAGTCAGATAGCGTGATAGAGAGCAGCAGATATGGTGAAAGGTAGATACAATGATAGATAGTGACAGAGTGCAATATGTAGATAGACAGACAGATAGATGGAGCGTCAGATATCCTGATAGAGCAACAGAGCGCAATAGGTAGATAGATAGATTGTCAAATAGTGTGATAGAGCAACAGAGTGTGATAGGTAGATAGAGCATCACATAGCATGATAGATAGAGTGACAGAGCAAGATAGCTAGATAGAGCGTCAGATAGCATAATCGATAAAGTGACAGAGTGCAATATGTAGATAGACAGATGGATAGATGGAGCGTCAGATATCCTGATAGAATGACAGAGCGAAATATGTAGAGAGATAGATTGTCAAATAGTGTGATAGAGCAACAGAGTGTGATAGGTAGATAGAGTGACAGATGGATAGATAGAGCGACAGGTAAATAGAGTGACAGATAGAGCGACAGAGTGTGATATGTAGATAGAGTGACAGATGGATAGATAGAGCGACAGGTAAATAGAGTGACAGATAGAGCGACAGAGTGTGATATGTAGATAGAGTGACAGATGGATAGATAGAGCGACAGGTAAATAGAGTGACAGATAGAGCGACAGAGTGTGATATGTAGATAGAGCATCACATAGCATGATAGATAGAGTGACAGAGCAAGATAGGTAGATGGAGCGTCAGATAGCATAATCGATAAAGTGACAGAGTGCAATATGTAGATAGACAGACGGATAGATGGAGCATCAGATATCCTGATAGAATGACAGAGCGCAATAGGTAGATAGATAGATTATCAAATAGTATGAAAGAGCAACAGAGTGTGATAGGTGGATAGAGTGACAGATGGATAGATAGAGCGACAGGTAAATAGAGTGCCAGATAGAGCGACAGAGTGCGATATATATATAGAGCATCAGATAGCATGACAGGTAGATAGAGCGTCAGATAGCAGGATAGATAGAGTGACAGAGTGCAATGTGTAGATAGACAGACCGAGAGATAGAGCGTCAGATATCCTGATAGAATGACAGAGCGCAATAGGTAGATAGATAGATAGTCAAATAGTGTGATAGAGCAATAGAGTGTGATAGGTAGATAGAGTGACAGGTAAATAGAGTGACAGAGTGCGATATGTAGATAGAGCATCAGATAGCATGATAGATAGAGTGACAGAGTGCGATATGTAGATAGAGTATCAGATAGCATGATAGACAGAGTGACAGAGTGCGATATGTAGATAGAGCATCAGATAGCATGATAGATAGAGTGACAGAGTGTGATATGTAGATAGAGTATCAGATAGCATGATAGATAGAGTGACAGAGTGCGATATGTAGATAGAGCATCAGATAGCATGATAGATAGAGTGACAGAGTGTGATAAGTAGATTGAGAAATAAGTAGAAAAAAACATCAGATAGGATGATGGGTAGATAGAGTGACAGAGCTCGACAGGTAGATAGATAGAACGACAGGTAGCGTGATGGATAAACAGAGTGTCAGATAGCGTGATAGAGCAACAGATAATGTGATATATACAGCGGCAGAGTGTGATATGTAGATAGATATAGAGTGACAGAGTGCGATATGTAGATAGAGCATCAGATAGCATGATAGATAGAGTGACAGAGTGTGATAAGTAGATTGAGAAATAAGTAGAAAAAAACATCAGATAGGATGATGGGTAGATAGAGTGACAGAGCTCGACAGGTAGATAGATAGAACGACAGGTAGGGTGATGGATAAACAGAGTGTCAGATAGCGTGATAGAGCAACAGATAATGTGATATATACAGCGGCAGAGTGTGATATGTAGATAGATAGATTCTCTAAAAATTCTCACAATATATGATATGGAAATAAAGACCTACATAAACAGTGAGGCACAAAATGTCTAAATTGTAATCAGATGTGGGGAGAAAAGATAAATATCAGTTCTGAGTGAGAAGGAGAGAGAGTTTCAACAGTGAGTCAGTCTGCTTGTATTACTGAGATTAAAGAGAGCTTCTGCAGTGGAGAGAGAGAGTGAGCGAGAGAAGGCTGTGCACGATTCACTGTCTTCTCTAGGATACAGCTCGCTTCCCTCCTCGTCTCAGTGCTCCTCTCTCTTCCCACTCAAGTGTATCTGATCCGTCTCTCCCGCACAACTCCTCTGTTTCGCAATAACTCTGAGGATGACTCCTTCGGAAACCTCCAGCCACATATGCCCGTTCCCCAGCTCATGGCTGTACAGGACGACTCAACACTCTTGGGCTTCCCTCGTGTGGACCTGCCCTCTCTAAAGTGGATCCACAGCAGACCAGCAGCTCAAGCCGGTCTCCTTTAGGGTAAGTATTGACAAGATATGAGGTGTTAATATGATTTACTGAACCACAGAAAAAGATTAAGGCGATCCAGTGCTTTTTTGTGGATTTGCAGTTCATTGTTTTGCTCTAAAAGGTTAAATATGTGACTCCTTGTTGCATATTGTCATTAGTGATCATATAAAAGCTGAGAAAACGTCCAGGTGGCGTCTCAGATGGGTGCAGAGAGAGAGAGTTAAGACTAGTGGTGCCAACACTGTCAGTGTGTGAACTCTCACTACGTGTCATGACACCAGGTCTGTACAGAACATTACCACTGCGCTGGTCATTAGTACAACACAACTGCTCCGACATCAGCTACTGACTTATTCTGAAGTGATTTGATCAAACCACTTAATAAAGTATTAAAGTTGAGCGTGTGCATTGTGCACGGGTACTTTATTAAGTGATCAGACGCACCATTTTCACAAGAAAACAGCTGGAAAAATCTAGAGGATGGGGTCTTTTGACCCTAGCAACCACATCAAAATGCCCTGGCAACCACCCTGGCATCGTGACAGAGTTTTGCACCACTCGTATTTTCTTCAGCAAAATCAAATATTTATTGATTCCCAGCCGTGTAGTTCAGGTAACCGGCCTGTAGTGTGTTGAGAGAGAAAAATACAGTATGTGGGTGTAGTGAAATAAAAATGTATGAAAAGAGTAGCAAGAAGGTGACAGAATGGACTTATTTCTATGGAAACAGCACTTTCCTCTCTCTCTCTCTCCTCCTCCCTCTATGCACTGCTATGGAAAACTCATATGGATGTTTTTATGTTCCCCATTTTAAAGAATCCGGCAAAGTTTTTGTTTGCAATTTGCTTGGAAATGCCAGTAATTTTTTAGATGTGTTAACAAACAAAAAAGTTGAGCTCAGACACACCCATATATCGCATCACTTCCTCTGTTTACATCATTCCACTGACGTGAAGTCTTCTAATCCGGCTGTTGGAGATTTCGAGGGAATCATGTCTTTCTGTCGCTCAAGCTGTTATTAAGCCACTTAAACAGTCTGAATCTCACACTGGATTGGCTCTGTTTTAGAACACATGCCGATGCAAATAGACAGACATTTGGGTCTTGAACCTTGCTAAACCTAGAGATATAAGTATAGCTAGTCAGTTCAGTTAATCTCTACTTCTTTTTGCTTTTAATTGCTTTCATAATCCTAAACCAGCAAACACTCCTATTAAGCTTTGTTAGCTTGTCATTATTTATATTTTTTGTGGTCATATCATCAGACAAAATCTAAATAATCAGCATGCAGAGATCAGTATTGCACAATTCTAGAATTATTGATATAGTATTTGAATACCGTTTATTAATATGCAGTGATCCTCATTAACATTAATGCAGAGCTGTCTAAAAGTGTCTGTAAATTTGAGAGTGAGATGATTTCATGCAGCAGCCGTGATGTGTGTCGTGATGCGCAAGCTCAGTAATCCTCGAGAGCTTTTTCTCCACTCTCAAACACGATCCCACACACAGACTGATAACTGAATATTATTTTTGGGAAATAATAATGCGATAGACGCGAGCACTCACGCATAAGTGCTGATCAGGTAAAGGGATTGTGTGGTCGTGACTGCAGCCCAGACTGCATCCATTCTATGGTTATATAGAAGAGCAGGAGAAACAGACTGTCATTTGATCTTTATGAACAGAAAGTGTTACTGTGAATGAACTCAGTGCATGACCCCAACAACTGATGCATGCATCTGTTTGTGCATTCATGAGGCTGCTGCAACAGGTCCTTCAGATCTATCTATCTATCTATCTATCTATCTATCTATCTATCTATCTATCTATCTATCTATCTATCTATCTATCTATCTATCTGTCTATCTGTCTATCTGGCTGTCTGGCTGTTCAAATTTAGGTGATCACTCAGAATGCCCTACTGTGTATTTATTTAGTTTATTTAATTTAAATCTATTATTTTAATTTGTTCTATTTTATTTTATTTAATATTTATTATTCTTATTTATTTTTTTAATGTATGTATTTTAATTGTTTATTTATTTAAATGTATTTAAATTTAATTTATTTCTTCATTATTTATTTATTTAGTAATTTGGTTGGTTCTAGCCACATTAAAGAATGAAGGTCAAGTGTCAGACCTGTTGCTCACATATTAACATATCAGTTATACCTTATATGTCAATCATCACAAGCTTTTGTTTACATTAATGTTCCATCATGTTAGATGATCAGTGATTTCATATTCATTCAGGTCTTCGGCATGTCAAATGTAACTTTTAAAATGCTCTGCTTTCAGAACTGTTGTGATTTTCATCCCCTTTGGTCAGAGTTTCTTGTTTGTTCTCTACAGCTGAATTTCTCTTATTCCCCCTCCGCAGAGATCAGTATTAGCCAAGAGATCAGAATAATTAAATCATGCCTCATTTTGAAACACTGTGTTGATTTTCCACATACTAAATTATGCATCCAGCTGGCTTCAGAAGTATAATCATATTTTTGCATGACCATTTGCATGTTCTGGTGATGGTGATGTAACCCACAGTATGTTTAATGGTGGACTGGATGCATTCAGTTTTAATGTTGAGGAAAAATGCACTAAATATTATGTTTTTACTTTCAAACTTTTGAACTTTGATTGCAGGATAGTTCAACACATCAAATAAAAATCATAGTTAATATCTTCATGATAATGCATATTGTTGTCATTTTCTAAAATTGAGTTTAAAAGTGGTTTACAAGTGTGGAAATGATGTTGCCATCTCATAAATAACATCTGTGTTCACGTGAGAATGCACGACGTGCCTGTAGTCACGGGTTTGAGTCTGTATAGCACATGTGTGTGTGTTTCTGCAGGCTGCACGTTTCTGTGAATGTGAACATGAGTTCATACCGGTTCAGAAAGCAATTCCATAAGCATCTTTTGGATTGTGTGTGTGTGTTTTGTAATCTATAAGCTGCCTAATGCTGAATTGTAAAGCCTCAGGCTACTGAAAGAAAAAGGCAGAGAGAGAGCGAGGGAATGATATGGAGGAGTAGAGATGCTTGTGCTTTTATTGGGAGCTCTTTTCTTCTGTCGTTCATTTTTTCCCTCCATCTCCGAGGATGCCAAGTAGAGAGTGGCAGTTAGAAACAGTCTGTGCATATCTAATATGATTGGTCTTGTTAAAAATAGAGTGCACTATACGCTCCGTGCTGAGCTCGTATGCGCAGAAAATACTTCGTTTTGTGGGATTCCGAAAGGAAAAGGCAGTAAGGATTCAGTATATGTTCTCATTCTAGAGACTAGAGAATATTTGATTGGACAAAAATTGTATGTTCCCTTGAGTGCAAGATGATGGCATCAGTATTTTGGTTTCCATGGTAGAGAAATGCTGATTATGAACTCATCCTGCACCGCTTGTGCTATGTTACTACCATTTTTGAGAGTCTCTTCTGCTCACCAAGTCTGCATTATTTGATCAAAAATACTGTTAAATACTGTAATATTGAGAAATATTATTACAGTTTAAAATAAGTCTTTTCTATTTTAAAATGAAATTTACTCATGTGATGCAAAGCTGTATTTTCAGCATCATTACTCCAGTCTTCAGTGTCACATGATCTTCAGAAATCATTCTAAGATGCTGATTTGCTGCTCAAGAAACATTTCTGATTATTATCAGTGTTGAAAACAGTTGTGCTGCTTCATATTTTTGCGGAAACTGTGATGCATTTTATTTTCTAGGATTCTTTGATGAATAGAAAGTTCAAAAGAACAGCATTTATTTGAAATAGAAATCTTTTGTAACATTCTAAATGTCGTTACTGTCGTTTTTGATCAATTTAATGCATCCCTACTGAATAAAAAGTGCAGCTTGTTGACTTCTCTTAGCAATCTGACTTTTTTTGGTGGATGATAAAATGTGATCAAATCTGACTTGCATTTAAACAGGACCATAATATCACAGAGATTTGAGAGGTTTTCTTCAGATCTAGTTGGATAACAAATTAATACATTTAATTGCAATGCTGATCAAAAGTGTCCTGGCATCATGTTTCTTTTTCCTTTTAGAATTAATTTTTTATAACTGCAGTTTTATAATTGCAGGAGCGTCAATATTGTTGGAGCTTCTTTGTTTTCTGAGATTTGCGTCGCACAGTTTAATAAATTTACTTATCTCTTGGCTTAATTAGAGCTGAAATGGAGCATTTAATTGTTTTGCTGGCTTGATCAAAACAGTACCTTTTACTATCAACAGCAGAAGTTTCAGTCATGTGTTTTGTTATAATTACAGTTTAAATGTGGTTTCATGTTCTTCAACTTCTTTTTTTTTTTTCTTTCTTCTAGAAAGGGCACGTTCATTCAGACCTCGTCTTTCAGCCTACAAGCACACAGAGAACAAGACCTTCAGAGCCGAAGCTTATAGATTGCTAGAGGAAGCATAGACGGTCATATATAAAGGTACGTCTGCATCTCTTATGTTATTTTAAGGATAATTCAATCCCTCATATGTGCACTGATGTCTCTCTTCCTTGTTTTTCTGAAAGATGGAGCAGGAGATTTCAAAAGTGCAGCGTAAGATGTCAGACCTGGAGTCAGTTCTGCAGCAGAAAGATGTGGAGCTCAAGGCTTCTGAAACACAAAGGACCATCTTAGAACAAGACCTGGCCACCTATATCACCGAATGCAGCGTGGGTTTACTGTCTGCATGTGGAAATGTGGCATGATCGGAACTGTACTGCTTGGTTTGTGAAACTTTTTGTTTGTTTTGTGTGTGTATTTCAGAGTTTGAAGCGCAGTTTGGAGCAGGCCCGCATGGAGGTGTCGCAGGAGGATGATAAAGCTCTGCAGCTCCTGCACGACATACGGGAGCAGGGCAACAAACTGCAGGAAATTAAAGAACAGGTTTGAATTCATTTCAGACATTTCTGTAGCGCTTTTGACAAAACGTATTATTCCAGTGAGCGAAGAGCTCAAAAGAAGTTCCTTAATCAGTATTTTTGTCTTGTTTTCTAGAAGACATTTACGTTTATGCATTTAGCAGATTTGTATGCGTATAGCAGCTTTAATCCAAAGTGACTTAGCTTACGTAAGTGCATTTAAAGCTGTACATTCATACGTTCCCTGATAATCAAATTCATAAGCCTGTCATTATAAAGTGGTTCCGACTTGTTTTTGGAGAATATACAGGGGCCTTAAAAAGTTTTTTAGTTTTGTGTGTCTGCAGTGGTTTATGTACCTCTGAGTGACATAACCAGAGGTTTCAGGATAGTGTGCATTGTGCTTCATTAAAGTATGTTTATATTCTAGGGCATTTTTTTTGTGACGTGTCTTTGTTTAGCACTTGGGGGGTCTGAGTGAGCATTTCACTGATTTCTCAGATTATTCCCATAGAGCTTCACAGGCGTCTGCTAATAAGAGCCCTGCTGATAGAGTCCACAGTATGAGTACAAATGATCTCTGTCCATCTCAGCTTCTGAAACACTATGTGAAATAGTGATGGCCACTTACAGCCACGAGTAAAGTGATGGTGAACGTAAGACTGAAGAATGAGATGTGAAGGTAAGAACATCATGGAAAAAGAGCCTGCTTTCTGCTGCTGCTTGCACATCTCCCCCAGAGCCAGGCTCCATCGCACTGCGGTTGCCATGGAGACAAAAATGGTACCTCGCAGTGAAGGATGTTGCAGATGCAGTGGAAATGCTGTGGTGACAAACCGGCAAAGGTCTCAAATTAGCAGCAAGCAGACTTTAAATGAAGTCTTCATTTGATCGAACTCTTTGGTTTGTTAAAATTTCAGTTTGGTTTCACAGAACTTTGTTGATGCTTAGTTGATGCTTTCAAACTCTGCTGCATAGAGTAAAATTTTCTTTGTGTGCATGTGTTTTGTTTTGTTATATTTATGAATATTTGTGCTAAGATATATTCAACTAAACAGAATAGTGATAAGATATAGCAATATTTTTTAAAGACTGAACTTTTATATACAGTG